TTCCAAGTCCTCTGGAGGGAAGCTGTCATCTCTCTGAGGTCCCACAGAGAGCCTGCCAAAGGGACACCCTCCCTGGTGAGGCCTGTCACCTTTCCATGTGGCTTCACAGTCTGAGTTGGCCCAGAGGGCAACATCTACAGGGCAGGAAAGTAACCATGAAGCAGTTTTGGAGCAGCAACTGACATTTCATCCTGAACTGATACTCTGTTCTGCTGAGGTTAAAAAAAAACACAAAACAATGAAGCCCTGTAACTTGTTAGCTGTGTGTGTTTGATTCCAGGTCCTACTGTCCTAACCCCCTTGTTATGTCACCTCTCACTAAATCCTGTGATACTTGCTTCCTGCAGTGTCTTCCTGTGCAGGGGCATCTCTTGGTGGGGGGGCACAGTTGTAGCATTAGCATTACGTGGCATTAGTGTAGGACAGTTGGATGAAGGACTGACCAAGGTAGAGCCCCGGTGAGGCTGAGCAAGACCTGGAAGCCTTCACTGCTCCTTTCGCAGTCCTGGCTGGAGTCTCCAGGTACTGCCCAGAGAATGATGGTGTGGGGGGGTCCAGTGTGGCACTCCAGTGGGCACACAGAGGAGCATATGGGCAGTGCACAAGGAGCCCAGAGGTTCCTGCTGTGGCTCAGGGCCTCCCAGGGTGTGAATTGAGGCGCTGAATGCAGGAGGCGTTCTACTGAAATCTCTAGGACCTGGTGACTAGTAGTGAGTAAGGGGCAATGCAGAGTGTAATAGAGGACAGGTGGGGCAAGAGCAGGGACTGTGCATTGGGCCAGTAGCAGATGAATCTGATCTTAACGTTGGCTGGCTGTGAGGCTTGGGGTTAGCTACTCGACTTCTCTATGTATAATGGAGGTAAATTCTGTCCCTCAGTAGACACTTGGGACAACCTAGCCACTATACATTTACCACGTGGCATGTGATGCCTGATGCTGAGCACTTCCCAAGTGGTGAAGGTTGTCATCTATTCTCTCAGGGGTCCCTGAGTGGAAGGCTGGTCAGAAGAGGGGCGAGGCTTGAGAGGGTTGCCTGCTGTGGGGGAAGGAGAGGTTGCTCCAAGGGAAGCATTTGTGTCTGGGCCTTCTGGACCATGCAGCAATGGGCAGAGTCAGAGGAAAAAGGAGGCTTCACACATCTCAGTGGTGCAGGGAGTGAAGTGCATTGTTCTACAGGGCTGTGAGGTTTGGAGGACTGGAATTTGATGACTGTGTGGTTTTAGGGGAGGGCACAGGATGGGAGGCAGAGAGCAGAGGGTTAAGGAAAGTGACAACACGTCCCCTCTTCTGCCATCCTGACCCCACCTACTTTTGAGAACCATGGCCAGGACTGAACCAGACACCAGACGTGGGTGGAAACAACTTGGTGGAGACTGTGAGCAGTGAGAGGGAGGGGAGAGAAAGGAAGGCAAGGTTGTCTTCAGAACAGGAAGATATTTGGCTCTGAAAGGTCTGAGTGTGTAGGGGTGAGGGATGGAGGAGGACTGTGGGGTCACTCAGGGGCCGGCCTGAGGGTTGTGACTAATCAGGGTGGTTTCCACAGGAGAACAACATGAAGTACTGGGAGAAGAACCAGTCGATCGCCATTGAGCTCTCTGACCTGGTTGTCTATTGCAAACCAACCAGCAAAACCAAGGATAACTTAGGTAACCTTTCCCCATGACCCTGTCCCCATCTGTGGTGAACACTTGTCTTCTTCTGAGTCTGATGTCAGAGGGCACAGTGAGTGTTTGCCTGCTCATTCTTAGTTCTCCACTGCTTGGCAGATGCCTCAGCTCGAGTTTGTCCTCAAGGCCCTTTTGGTGTTGCAGTGGTAAAACCCAATTAGAGGGCAGACTGGCTTCCTATGGCTGCTGTAACAAATGACCACCTACTTGGAGGCTGGAAACAGCACACATTTATTCTCTCAATCCCAGAGGCCAGAAGGCTGAAGTCAGTATCTCTAGTCCCAAACTGAGGTGTGAGCAGTGCTGTGCTCCTTCCAGAGTCTTTTAGTTACTCCTCTTGTTGGTGAGATAAAATACCTGACAGCCAAAGTTAAAGAAGGAAATGTTTATTTTAGCTCAGTTTGTAGAGGTTTCAAACCATGGTGGGCTGGCTCCAAGGCAGGCTGGCAGAGTAGAGGGTCATGACAGAGGAGAAACAGTCCATGGCAGGGTAAGCAAGAAGGCAGTTTCCATCTTTCCCTTTTATTCCATCCAGGCTACAAGCCTACTGATTGGTGCTACCCAAACCCAGGGTAGGGCTTCTGTTATCCACACCCAGAACTATGCTAAACCAACTATGGTAAACCAATGTAGTTATCACACATCTTAATCTAGTATCCTGCACTATGATCCAGCCATCTCCCCAAATCCCTACCTACGGCTGCATCAGGCTTTGAGGGGACATCTAGATACAAGCCGTAACACAGAGGCTCCAGAGGAATCTGTTCCTTGCTTCTTTCAGCTTCTGGTGGCTGTCAGCATCCTTTGGTGGGCACATGGCCATGACCTCTTCTAGCTCACTATTATAAGGACACTTTGATTGCAGTAGGTCCACCTGGATAATCGAGGATAATCTCCCCATTTCAAATGCTTTAATCAAATTACAAGTGCAAAGTCCCTTTCACCATCTAATGTAGCATATTCATATGTTTTGGGGAGCATTATCTTACCATGAAGGGAGTAAAAAGTGGATCTCCTACCACATCCTCCAAAGTAGCAAGTTTTTTGATGATGCTTTTCATATTTTATTTCTTATTTCTTTGGGACTTTTGAGCAACTCTATCTTTGATCTCAAGCCCAAAGGAGTAGTACTAAACCCCAGAGTTAACTCTGACTCTGAGGTGGGTCCCTAGGCCCCTTCACATTTAGAAGATGCTGAAGGTCTGGATGGGACCCAGCGAGGTTTGGCATAGTTATCGCTCAGCTGCCCACCACAGCTGGATGGAAGTGATGCTTCATCCAGGCAAAGCCCCCCCCGCCCCATTTTCTCTCCTATCACGTCTCTTCCTTTGGGCAGTGGCAGTTGGTTCCCACTTCTTCGGGCTGCTAGGTTCATTCTTGTATCTCTAGAATCATTGCTAAGGATGCCTATCTGTTCTCTGCATCTTCATTCCTAAGATCTCCACCTTCCTGCTTTTGCCTAAGACATCCCACCTGCCTCATCGTATAACTGTAGCACTTTAGTGTTTTCTGGTTTAAAGATGACAGTAGTTGTAAACAGTGAGTTATAGTACGTCTAGCCTGAAAGCCGATGGGAAATCTGGGTCCCTTTTTTTATTGTGTGAGAACCTCCAAGGGCAGAGATCCACAGAGGTACCAATTGTGGCATCATGGTCACAAGCCCTGATGTCTTGTCAAGAGAGACTCCTGGTTTCCTTTCCCGACCTAAGCATCCACCACTGCAGAACCATGGAGGAGACCTGCACAGAATACAGAGTGACTTGCCTCTCTGTGTGCAGAGAACCCTGACTTCCGAGAAATTCGCTCCTTTGTGGAGACAAAGGCTGACAGCATCATCAGACAGAAGCCCGAGGATCTCTTGAGGTATAACCAGAAGGGCCTGACCCGCATCTATCCGAAGGGACAGAGGGTTGACTCTTCAAACTACGATCCCTTTCGCCTGTGGCTGTGTGGTTCCCAGATGGTGGCGCTCAATTTCCAGACCGCAGGTAAAGGAACCCTGAAGGTAGTAGCTATGTGAGTACCAGTGACAGACAGAGTCAGTCTCCTTTAGGAGGAAACACATTACTGGTGTAACTGCAAGCCTGGGAGTTAATTCGTAGCTTCAGGGTCAGCTGGATCCAGGTGTTAGTGCACATCTTGGGGCTTCTCTCCTTTCCATCTCTCTTTGAGGCCTCCATCTCAGACTCCTGCAGAAATATTTAGGTGTTGGAGAAAACCAACACATTCAAACTTCAGGAGCTAAAGCACAGTGATCTGTGCTTTTGTTGAATTTATTTAAGGCTTCCCCTGCATTATATTTGTAGCCATGTGCGATTCCACTGAGTGGACCATCATCTATCTGACACATCTAGGTCACTTCCCATCATGGGCTCTTGCACCTGCACATCTGGATAGAGGTCTCAGTAGGGCAGGGTGGTCACACAGTGCTTGCATTTCTGTACTCTGCCAGGGCAGACATTGGTCAAAGAGCACCACCTAGAGATTGTGGGAGAACACCCATTAGGGGAATGCTGCATAGACTCTTGGTGTAACTTTACTCTCTGGTTTTATTGAGCTCAATCTTTGCCCATCTCAGTGATGGCAAACCTTTTAGAGCTCTTACTGACACAAACAGTCCGCTATGCCGTGGGTGCCATAGGTTCACCATCACTGGCCTCTCTGCTAAGTGAAAACTGGTATTAGACTCTAATTTATTAGAGCTTCTCATTTTCTTATGAGTGACATTAACCTAGTCCAGTTTTTGTTTATTTAGGGAGCATTTGCAGTATTTTTTCTGCAAACTTCATGCATCTTACCCAATTTAGCTAATGTGGTCAGTTTTTATAGCATGCATTTATCATAGCACTTAAGAGGTTTAAAATGTGTATGTATATATCTGCCTGTCATTTAACTAAAACGTTTTATCTTTTATGCAGTTTTTTTTCTATGTAGACATTTTAGTTTGGTTAAGTTAGTCAATGATTTTAGTTACTTAGGTTGAGTTACTTGGTTGGCTTCATTGGCTTAGATAGGTTTCTTATTTCGTTTGGTGGAACTAAGGGGTTAAACCTTAGTAGCACTTAGCTACATCCCAAGATGTTTTTTGATGTTTTGAGATTCGGTTTTGCTGAATTGCCCAGGCTGGGGTCGAACTTGTTATCCTTCTTCCTCAACCTCCCAGAGAGTGCTGAGACTATGTAGGCCTGTACCACTAACCCTGGTTGTTTTTTTTTTTTTCTTTTTTTGGTACCGGGGATCGAACTCGGGACCTTGCACTTGCCAGGCAGGTGGCAGAAACACTGAGCTAAATCCCTGGCCCTTTATTTTAAAAAATCTTTTATGGTTCTAGACTTTGTGTTATACTTGGAAAGGTTTCCCGTTTCAGATTGTTTATTCCAAACCACATATTTTCTTTGAGTCAGATACCTACTTGCCCAGCTGTCCCAAATGATCATAGGGAATCCATGTAGCCCATTCCACACCTCTCAGTGTGCTTGAGTCAGCCTCACAGACCTCACTTTGCTTCCAGACAAGTACATGCAGCTGAATCATGCATTGTTTTCACTCAATGGGCGGACGGGCTACGTTCTGCAACCAGAGATCATGCGGACAGGGAAGTATGACCCGATGCCACCAGAGTCGCAGCGGAAGATCCAGATGACTCTCACCATCAAGGTAGAGGTGGATTAGCTCCCTGGGGCTGGGCCACACATGCTGCCTTGGGCAGTGACCCTTGCAAACCATCAACATCCTGACAGTGTCTTAGGACCTTTAGTCCAGTACCTGTAGGTCTCTGTAGGGGAAAGAGAAAGAGAGGGAACTTCCCTAACCACCCTGGTCACTTCCCCTGTCATCTGCAGGATGAGGTATCCGTCTGTGTCTTTAGGGTCCCTGTAATATTGGCCTCAGGCCAGGAAGATTGAGAAATAAAACACAGAAATGGCCCTTGGTCTTAACAGAGGAGTATGTCTGCCCTTTGGCCAGTTTTTTTGGGGGGGTGGTGGTAGTGGTGTCAAAGCTTATTTACATTAATCTAGTGTTTAGAGTTTGTGCAAAGTAGTGAAAAGTAGAGAAACAAATTGCATTTCTCACGGATTAAAGAAGAAAAAAAGGAAGCATGTGCAAGCAAAGGTCTTTGTTGAATAAGACCAGTCACAACAAGAATGCTTATGTTCTATCCCCTTCCCGGTTCTGGGAGATCCAGGAATTTGGTGCCATGACTCAGCAGGTGCCACTGGGGCATGAATATGCAGGCTCAAGGGTTCAGGTGAGACCTACCTCTTGAGCATGGAGCTAGACCTGTGGGACCCCACCAAGACTGCACCCCATTTCCTCATCTGACAGAGGATGGACCTCTCAGAACCCACAGCATAGTTTCTGACCTCTTCAGGGCACAAGCCTGGCTTTGATTTCCTAGAGTCTGACCCCTGCTGCCATGCTGTGTGGGACAGGAGAACCCCAATACTTAACCTTCCATGTCCTAGGTCCTAGGTGCCCGCCACCTACCCAAGCCTGGACGAAGTATTGCTTGTCCCTTTGTAGAGGTGGAAATCTGTGGGGCAGAGTATGACAACAACAAGTTCAAGACAACAGTTGTGAGTAAGTAGCCCCAGCTCTTTCTTCTAAATGTTGAGCAGGTTGCATCATATGTGGGTTGCTATCCTTGAAGATTTTGGAATGCACTTTTGTCGCTCAGCCTTTTTCATTCACCCCTCTTGTCCACTGTGGTTCAGCTTGGAGATGGGAGACAAAGGGCTATGTCACAAGATCACCGGACTTGTACCCCATGCTGTTCCTCAAGTTAGGAGCCTCAAGCAAGGGTTTTGTTCCTTGCACACAACACTAGTGTGGTTGTCACCCTGCCACAGCCCAGACCTGATGCAGCTGCTGAGTTGCAGGCTCAGGAGCAGACACCCAGAGTAGGGGCACGTGCTCCAACTGACTCAGAAGATACAGCCCAACGGGTTGGCCTTGGCCTCCAGAGGCAGGAAAGACAAAAGGAGTGGGAAGGGCCTGTGAGCCGTGGGCCTGTTAGGGCCCAGACTGGCTGCTCCTGGTCAGAAGCAGCCCAGGAAACAGCTCGGGTGCTGACCAGTGGGCCTTTCTGGAGGCGGCAGTTTGCTGTATGTCTTCCTCCGTGAGGCTAGGTCCCCTCCATCGATCTCTTCTATACCTCACGATTCCTGCTTGGAATCTCCCTTCCCTTCTTCCATCCCAGGACGTGAGATGGGAGGTGCACGCCTGATGTGGGGGTCCGTTCCTCTGTTTCCTGTGGTCCAGGCTTACAATGGCAGCTTTCACAGGACTGCTCACTGGGCAAGAAAAAGATAAACCTCAGATGTTCTTGGATCTTGGCATAGATGCTTGTTTATCAACATGGTTGATAGGCCTCAAAGCTGAAGGACGCTGAGACCAGGTTACGGGGAGAGGGCAGGATGAACACAGCCTCTCTTGAGCGTGGGTCTCTTTCCAGATGACAACGGCCTCAGCCCTGTCTGGGCTCCAACGCAGGAGAAGGTGACATTTGAAATTTATGACCCAAACCTCGCGTTTCTGCGCTTTGTAGTTTATGAGGAAGACATATTCAGCGATCCCAACTTCCTCGCTCACGCCACTTATCCCATTAAAGGGATCAAGTCAGGTAAGAGGTATTTTAATTAGGATGCTCTATTTTGGCAAGCATCGCTCTTTGTTCTGTGTTGCTGACTTTAAAAAGAACAAAAAAGCATTTTTCTTGGTTTTGATTAAATCATGGCAAAATCAACAGGACGGCTCAGAGAATGGCGGCCTGAACAGCTGTACATTTAGCGCACAGGGGGAGGAAGGTAGAGCTGCTGCTCCCTTGGAAGTTGGGTGTCTGTTTGTAAACTGGAGTGTTAGTAGATCATCATTCTGGCACTGTAGTTTGGGTTGATTTTTTTTTTTGTACCGGGGATCAAACTCGGGTCCTTGTGCTTGCGAGGAAGGCAGTGGAACCACTGGGCTAAATCCCTGGCCCTCTGGCACTGTAGTTTGATTTCATTTGAAATGTTACCAGTGCTTTGCCCCTTCCTGGCCAGGGCTAAGTCTGGTTTGATCTCCCTTTCTCTTCCGGACTGGCATTGTAGTAAGGTGAAGATTTTACCAACTGGTGGGAGCTATAGTCTTGTGTTCAATTCTCCTAATTCTTCAGAATTCTCCATCCTCCTCTAAACAATTTGGAGGGTTGATTTATTACTTTGAGTCATGATTTTCTTCCATCATAGTTTGAGAAGAGTTATTTTGTGTTTCTTGGGACTGAGCCTAATTGGATTATGGGACCAGCTCGTAAGAACCTGGATCCTATGGCTGACCTGTGGGATCCAGGTGCATGGCCCTTCCAGATGGCTGAGTAATGACCTCAGGTGAGGGGCTTGGTGGCCCAAGAGCCCCATGCTGGCTCCAGGGGCAGGCACCTATCGGGGTGTCATTTCTGTGAAGGTAGTGGTCCTTGGGCGGTGGGTGATTCCTCTAATTTCCTTTCCCACTGGATTGACATTTGACAGGCCACTGCTTGATGTGGAGTGTCCCTCTTCCTTCTCTGTGGTATTTCAGATGCATGGGACATCAGGTCATAGATGCTTCTAGATTCCTCAGGAGGTCACTGTTCCCTTGTTTCTCAAGAATCATTTTTCAACAGAATGACATTGCTATTATTTTAGTTATTTGTATAAAAATACAGTCTTCTGACATTGTTTGGAAACCTTGGGCTCTATGCAGAGCTAAATTGGATTTTTTTCCCCTTTCTTTAAACTTGGAACATGTCAGATTGTCTCTGGAATTCTCTTTGTCTTAGTATCATAAATATGACCATTTTTCCCACTGGGCACTAGCCCAGTTTCTGAGTAGCAGACAAGATGGCAAGCCCAGCTAGAAAATTCAGGGTCCTGGGCTTACCATTGGATGCTCTGAGCTAAACTGAGGAGTTTTTTTTTTTCTTGGTACCGGGGATTGAACTTGGGTCCTTATGCCTGCAAGGCAAGTGCTGAAACCATTGAGCTAAATCCCCAGCCCCTACCATTAGATGTTTTGATTCAGCCCGGGCAGGGCCCAGGAATCTGTGTTTGGTCAGCTCCACCGATGGGCCTTGGGTGGCCCTGAGAAAATCAAGGCTGGGCCCAGACTGCTGCTCTTACCATTGAGGAAGCCAAGCAGGAATTTCAGAAAATGTTTAAACCCTCTGATTTCTTTTCAGCACTTTAGAAATATCCATTTCATAATTTAACACTAACAGCATTCATTTGTAGGTCCCAGAGACTGGCTATTTGGCAACACTTGCTGGTTACCTTGCCGATTCTTCAACTACTTTAAACTCAGCAGTGAAGCATTGCTGTCTAATCTGCCATGTGCTTTTTTTTTTTTGGTACCGGGGATCGAACTCGGGTCTTTGTGCTTTTGGGGCAGGTGGCAGCACCACTGAGCTAAATCCCCAGCTCAGCCATGTACTTCTTTTAGATTTGCCTAATAAATAAGTCTTAGGAATGACATTGCCTCTTCCATGGCAGGAAGTATAGTTTTTGGTAAATCTTTACAGAAGTGGATTTCACTTTATGGTAACTATACCTGCTGGTTCCTTACAACCCTGTTGTCCTTGTTACCTTGAACTCCAAGGCTGGGAGGCAGGAGCCTTGTAGCCATACCAGTGCCATGCAAAGAGGTCAGTTGTTGAAACTTCCTCATGTGACTTACCAAAGCGTGTCAGTTCCTTTAGAAGATGACCTTGTGCTTGAAGATTCAAGAAAGCAAAGACCAAAACCTGAAGGATGATTAAAAATGGGACACACACCCGCCTCCCCCTGCAAACTGTGAGATGCTCCCAGCAGGGACCTTCTCGCTCTCCTTTACATATCCCAGCAACACCTGGGATATCCCTGTTCATGGGAAGAACAAAATGCAATGAACAGTCCCTGTGTTCACCAGCGCCAAGGGCCTCCTGAACTTGAAAATAAATTTTGCTCATTGTTGTGAGCAATGCACTTAAGCTTTCAGACCAACTGGGACTCAGGAAGGAGGGAAAGAAAACTATTCATCCTGGGGATTTAGCTCAGTGGTTCAAGTGCCTGCCTCGAAAGTACAAGATCATGAGTTCGATCCCTGGTGCCAAAAAGAAAACATTTTTCATGTTATGCACCTTAAAATTTTTTCCCTTTTAATTCTCACAGTAATCCCTGTGAGACGAGTTTCTCATCTCTGCTTTTCAAATCTGAGCACTTTGGGGGCTAGAGATGTGTTAACCAGTTCAAGGTCACACTGTCATAGGACCAGAACTGGGACTCACCTCATTCTTCCTCTCTGCAAGCTGCCCCTGTGAGGCCTCTTATTCCAGCTGGGTGCTGAATGCCCCAAACATGAATCTTAAAGATGTTTCTGTTCTTCTTTCCTCCATGAAACAACCATAACCAAGAGAATAAAAATCCTATGTATGGAGAAGGGAGAAATGCCTTCCATCCCTGACTCCAGCTGTACATGCAGAGGGCTGCCCAGTGCATGGGCACGGTGTGGGCAGTGAGGAGGTACCTGGTGCTGGGGCAGTTGGCTCTGGGGGCAGAGCTCAGGCCACACGCTGAGTGCCAGGCAGGCCAGCCCTGCTTGGAAGCATGGCACTGGGTGCACAGGCTACTGGCCTTGTTGGTTATCAGAGAGCACCAAGCATTCCAGTTCCTTCCGAGGGTCCAGGACATAAAACTGACAACTTCCCCACTGTCCCCTGGGAGATGCAGCATCTCACGCCCCAGGTCAGACTCTGCACTTTCATCAGATTCACAGCTATGTGAAAGCTGGAGCAGACCTGGGCTAGACTGCAAGGATTCTGTGCTGATGCACCAGGGAGAAAACAAACCACAAACAAACCACCAGAAAAAACACATCACCCAGAAGGGAACAGAGCCCAGTAAACTGCTCTACAGCAGCACTCAACGAGAGTAACGTTGTCCAGATCCCACGAGAGAAAGAGCCATGACCTGAGAGTTTTATACCACTCAACCTGTAACTTGACTATAAAATCAAAGGGTAGATGCATCTAATACTCCAGGGATTGCAGGGCCCATGAGCTCATTTGGTGAAAAGACGACAAACTTGACCAACTGAGACATCCACAGGGCACCAACAAGTTAACAACAGAAGTTCATACGTTTCATTATGTGTACATTTTACATGAGAAGAGGAACAACGTCAACTAATACTAAGCTCTGGCTAATGGGCCAGCATATGCTGGCATACTCAGTAGGAAGTGGGTGGATAAGGAAGTATATAAAAAGCTATTGGTAGACTCTAGTGGGGACATACAAGTGTTCATTGTCTTTTCATTGTGCTGCATATTTGAAAATTTGTATAATGTGAAAAAAAATTCAGCTCCCCTTTATGGGAGAACTGTAGCTATGAAATGGAATGCAAACATTATACACCATGTTGAGTAGAAATGTAATACAGCTTTACCCCAATAGGGGGAAGAAAAGGACAGAAGGTTTGGGGTTGTGCAGGTGGGATGGTTTCCTCACCAGAAGCAGTGGAAATGCAGAGATTCTGTGGATATTGTTTAAAGGTGGTAAATCAGTGTGCAGAGAACCTTTTGTACAAGAGAAAGGAGCCAAGACTGGAATGGAGGAAGGCACAGGAAATGGTGGGGTTCCATATTTTGGGCAATGCTCATCCTGGAGAAGCAGGAGATGCAATATAAGAAAAAAGCTTTCAAGAACAATCAGGGTCTTAGAGTAGATGGCTGAGATACAGTGTCACAAGGAAACCCTAAGGCACTGTTCATTTGTGATTTAACAGAAATGCAAACATACCCATAGACTATCTTGGGAAAGACACTGTTGACAATGACTTTAGCATAGGGAGTATGATTGGGTGGGAATGAGAGTCCTGTTTTTTTACTGTGTACTCTTTTATACTACATAATTAAAATAAGCAAATAAAGCAGCCTTTGAGACATGTTGCTTTACATTTTATTTAATGGGGATCAGAGGAAATTTAGCATCAGTTCACCCTTTTTGAACCCAATAAAGAGAATTATTTAAAGGACTGTCAAACATACATCCTAATTGTAAACCAGGAATGGCTTTCAGAGGCAGATGATCGATACTGCATGGACTGCCAAGGACAGGGAGACTGGAAATCTTTAATGATGTAACATCCTCCCTGGTCCTAAGTGGTGAAAATGAGTGTGAAGATTCATTACTCCTTTGAGTCTTTTGGCCTTAGCAGTGTTTAAGGAATTGAATCACAGCTGCAATCACAAGAAATTCAGTGGAATGTTCTGTGGGTATTAATTTCTTCTGAGTGAATCACTTTCATTTCTAGATGGCAGATAGTTTTACCTTGTGCACTTGTTTGTCAAAAGGCTCCTTGCTGCTTTCCTTGACCTTCAGGATAGACCCCTGTCCTACAGAAAGCAAGCCGCCAGCATAGGGTGCACTGAGCTCTCTCTGAATGGCATGGGATCCCAGGATACCTCAAGAAAGCTAAGGTCCAACATTAATCACCTGCCTTTGTGTTCCCCTCCATTCTGCTGCAGGGTTTCGATCTGTTCCTCTCAAGAATGGGTACAGTGAGGACATCGAGCTGGCTTCCCTCCTGGTTTTCTGTGAGATGCGGCCAGTCCTGGTAAGTGGAAAACACCAGCCAGTCGGGTGAGGTGGCAATGGATTATGACTACTCTTGCCTCATGACCTTAAACCCACTGAGACTAAGACATCATAAAAGAAGAATTCCTTTTGGCTAATTTCCTGGAGACCCAGCAGTTTGACCTCTGAGCACCCTTCTTCCTGGGAGAGTGCTGTAGGATTCTGGGAGTAGACAGTGTAGTCAGAAGGGTGCTGGTCCTTGTGAGTTTCTCCTCGTTTCATGTCACCAAGAGCAGAGCCAGGTGGTGCACTTCTAGATAAGCTCATCACTCTGGAAGCTTTTGGTCTTTGGTCAAAGGGTCTGTGAGCAATCAATAAGGACTTGTCCTGGGAAGGAACTTCCACTAGCAGAAGAATTCCTCTTGCAGCTCTCTACACTGGAGGTGCCTTCCTTTTGGGTCTTTTTGTTTTGCCAAGACCTAGAAGATTCTTGGTCTCTCCTTCAGTTAACTAGCTTGGTAGGCTTGGCAGGAAGGTCTTGACCTCACTGAATGGTATTAAAGGATGTGATCAGGATGAAAGGTTAAGAACAGCACCAGGCTGTGGATAGCTGGGGCTTGGGTTTGATGGCTGAAGTCTGGATATTTATTGTGATTCTAGAGCTTCAGAATCTTAGTGGTGGCCTCTCCCATAGTCACATACCCACACAGCAGGTGTTTTTGTGATGCCTGATATGTAGCTAGTCTAATGTTCCAGATCTTTCCAAAGCTCGACCTAGGCTGAGGAGTTCCATGGTCTTCCAGGTTCTCTTTGGCAAACCTAAGAGACTGTAGTTTTGGCCCCCCAGTGGGGTGATGTGGGCTTGGCCCTGCCCCTGGATATTTGTTGTTTTCTCATCCTGGTGGCTTTCTGGAGAGAGAATTCATTGCCAATCAAGTCGTTCTTTGGGCTGCAAGAACTCAGCAGGGTTTCGCTTGTTTGGCACCTTTCGGAATGCAGTGGAAACCTTCACATGGGGGAGTGGAGAGCAGAGATGGGATGCCTGTTCACCTGCCACAGGAGCTGGTATCCATTCTTCTGTTGCCTGTGGAGGGAACCAGTGCTGCCCCTCTTTGCACATAAAGCCCATCTGCAGACATTTGACAGAAGATCCAAGGGATAGGAATGGTTTCTGAGGGCAGTAGGACAGCGTGTGTTGAAATGCTGTTCTGCAAAGCTGTCGTAAACAACCGGGAACTGTTATAGTTTAAGTGACTAGGTACTACCTGCAGCGGAGAACATTAATATATTTAGAAGGAAATTGTGTTTATTCAGCTTTGATTTTCTTGGTAAGGGAAGCTCACTGTGCTGGCTGCTGTGGAACAGGCATAGGGGTGTGGGGTGTCGTGTGGGCTCCAAGAGCAGTCTGTTCCGTGACGGGAGTTCAGTGGAGAGCTGTCTGTGTGCGATTTCACTGCAGCTGCTGGCTCTTGTGGTTGTTTAATTCCACATCTGTCACCTGGTTCTGTGCCACTTGGCATTCCCATCCACATGGGCATGAGGGCCTCTCTCGTGAGACAAGCTGGATACTCAACCTGAGCTCTCTCCTTGATGCCCAGGGGTGAACCTTGTTTTATTTATCATCAGCTGCTGGGTGCATGGGACAGACTTTGGTAAACAGCCTCTAGCAAGACTTGTCTGAGCAGATGACTGACCCAGTGAGGGCTTCAATGAATCTACTCATAAAACATTTCCTGAGAGTTTAAAGCCTCCGAAAATGTCAATAAGCACTTAAAAACCCCTTGTAAGAAGCCATTTACATGTCACAGTTACTTTATCCATTCCCAGCCCTTTACTTTGTTAGCAGTATGTAAAGAGCATTTTTAGCACCATTTTATTCCCTACTATATTTAATTTGAGAAGAACCACTGTTAACACCTTAGTTGATCTCCTTTTCCCTTTGACTTTTGCACGGGGCACTTCTGTCACTGGATTCACACGTGTCCTTTCCCCACTTCACAGGTGATGTTGAGCACCGTTTCCCATATTATGATTTTTAAAGCCACTGCTGCCCCAGATGTGGGTCCTGATTCACTTAGCCACTCTCCTACTGATGGACAGTTCAGTGGTTGGCAGTGTTTTATTTTATAAATAATAAAGGTCCTCCTTAACTTTTTATGATTAAAGGTTATTCCCTAAGGTTAAATATTTAGTAATGGAAGAATAGGTCAAAGAACCAAAGGACCATTTTTTGTGATGGAGGTTCACCTGTTCTCTGGAAGTAAACAGTTTCCTTTCGGTTGATGTGTGATATTCAGCATCCCTATTAATTGGAAGGGGCCTCCCCGGAAATGATCTAAAGTGTTGAGATTCAGAAGAATGGGACTGGGGACAGTTCGGGGCTTGAGTACGGCTTGGAGTTATCCTCAGCGGGGACGCTGGCAGGGCCTGGAGGGGACATGGGGAAAAACTGGCCTCCCCAGGATTTCCCACATCTTCATCTTGGCGGGCTGCATTTTGCTCTGGGCTGGGTAGGGGGAGCTGGGTACAGAGGGTGGAGAGGCTCAGTAGAAAGACCTGTTTGGGGGTTCTAGGTGCAGCCAAGCAGACATGTGCATCCTTTGGGAGAACAGCCACAGCACACACACTAGAATCCTGGACAGTTGAGCCCTGTGCTTCAGCTGAGCTGGCCTGAGTTTTTGAGGTTGAAAGTGATTTTCTTCCACCTGGGGAGACCTGGATGCACATGGAACTCCTATCTTGTGCTTCAACAGCTACAGTGTGTCCCACCTGGGTCCACAGAGCAGGAACCACTGTGCCTACCACCTGAGGCCCAAATGCTAACATAGCCACTGAACACACAGTGCACATGGGGTGGGAAAATGGGCACAAAGGCACAGCAGAAGACAGACCCACGTGCACACCTGGAACAGGTGGCTGGCAGGTGACACCAAGCCTGGGAGCATCAGATGAGAACCTAAGTCCTAGGAGCTTTCAGAGATATACAGATGGCACTGGAAAGGCCTTCTGGAACTGGACACAAAACTAATTTCCTGAATCTAAAAATCTATTATGTAAGTAAAGAGGTCCCCAAAGGTAAATGGTTGATGACCCCAAAGGTAAAGTAGAAGAAAAATCTAACAGTCCAGGGCAGCACCACTGTGAGATGGAAATCATGAAGGAAAAGACAGGTTGGGAGCTATTGTGGGAACCTTCACACAGGAGATTTTCTCCGATTTGCTGCTTGAGGGGGCTCACTTGGTCCCAGGAGGGATGAATGTAAAACACATTCACAGTCCTGGTCATAATTTAGTAAGAATTTTAAATTCCGAGGATAAAGAAATAACTTAGACCTCTTGACTCTCAACACTGTCTATGAAGAAAAACAGGTACGTCTCACATCAGAGTAACGCTCATCAACTCTGAAGACTGCAAGACATGGCATCGATAGGCTAGGAAGATGAGAGAATGCAGTGTCCAGCTACTCCCACATCCAAGCAATAGAAATGCATTTGTGGCTATGCAAGATTTTAGGTGTGTCCTGTATCCCCCATGCAGGAAGTCTCCAGGCAGCCCCTGAATTAGTGGTATTTTATTCAGCAGAGAAAACTCTAGATAGGGAAGAGAGGGAAACTGAGGAATAACTAATTTTGTAGTACAACTACATCTTACTGGATGATGATATTGTAATTAAGAACTGGTGATGGAAAATCTCAAATAAGGTTTCTGAAAGAGAAATACACTAATGACAAATTCCATAAACAGAAGCTAACCCAAGTGCTGAAAAATCAGGTAAAAGTGTCCTAGAAGGTTTCAACTTTGATGACTGAGGATTCATACACTAAATATGTCCTAAAAATACACTAAAATGTCCTGGGGATGGTAAATTCCTTCTGAGATTTTTGATGTAAAGAAAAATGCAATTTTAATTGGGACTGTTGAAAAACTAAGAACCGTATAAGAACTGAGAAGCAACGAAGCAAGAAGAAAAAGAAAAATACAGAAATTCAACCAGGACAATAAAAATAAGGGAAAGGATGAAGAAATCAAAGCAAAGTAAAATGTGTTGTAATCAAAATGACATGAATAGAACTTTTACTTAATTTGTTAAGTGGGCTGAACTCTCATCAGTGAATAAATCCAACTATGCAATGTTTATAAAAGCAAGCCTACAAGCAAATAATAAAGACAAGCAAAAAACCTAGATCAGCCCCTCCCCCATGTCCCCGCCACTCCCTCTTTCCTTTTATTCCCAGCCCCACCCACCAAAATGAACACCTGGGACAAGGAGAAGCAGCTGTAGCTCATCACCAGCCTGAAAGAGCAAGCTATAGGTGAATATGAAGACCTTAGACCAGACAACCAGAAAACAAAGGAGAAGTGTGACAAAATTCGGCAAGAATGAGATGAAGCCATTAAAAAACCGGAAGAATTTCAGAAAATTTCTCACATGGTTATGGAGGAAGTTAATTTAATGCAAAACCATCTTTTTTTTTTTTTTTTTGGTACCGGGGATCAAACTCGGTTCCTTGCGCTTGTGCAGCAGGCAGCAAAACCACTCAGCTAAATCCCTGGCCCAAAACTGAGAAGACTTGTCAAGAAAGTGCTGAAGCTTTGGCAACAAGGCTAAATAAAATAAAACACTGAAGAGAATCAGCATGTTATCCATGGTCACGGTGGCACCAGATGTAATAACGGAGGAGCTAAACACTGATGATGAAGATGCCACCACAGCACAGATGGCACTGCTGAGACTTGTATATAAGTACAGTGTCAGAAGCAGATCAAAGAACTTTGAGATCAAATTGTATCTGTTCAGGAGGGAAAGAAGATATTAGCCACTGAGCTGGAAAATCTCAAGAGCAAACTGGTGGAAGTAATTGAAGAAGTAAATAAAGTTAAACCAAAAAAAGGCTGTTTTACATGCAGAAGTTCTTGAACAGAGAAAAGTCTTAGAAAAATGCAACAGAGTGTCCATGTTGGCAGTAAAGGAATATGAGGAGATGCAAGTAAACCTGGAGCTGGAGAAGGACCTTTGAAAGAAAGCAGAGTCCTTCACAC